AGGGAGATCAGAATAACATTCTGGAAGGATGGTTCTGGTGGCAGCCAGAGACGGGGCTGGAGATTGTCGGCCTGGGCATGCGCCTGCTTACCACTGTGAAGCCTCCCAGGGGGATTTTGAATTTTTTGTCCTGAGGGGACTTTCCAACAGCATCGTTTTGCCCCTGAGCATCTTTTGGTAAACACTCGCTGTATAATGTTGAAAGTATGTGCATATCAGGAAAACCTAGTTCTTCCATCTTCCTGGAAAAGTGGTGGATCTAGGATGCGACCGCACTGGGTGAGCTGACGGCTCCCCTGATCAGTACTGGGTATGTGTGTGTGTGTGCATGCGTGTGTGTGTGTGTGTGTGTGCGTGCGCGCGCGCCTAGAGAGGGAGAGTGGGTGCATGCATGTTTCTTTGTGCTTCTTCCTGGCCGGCCCCACCAAGGCCTGGAGCACCTACGCGTCCTCACCCACGCTAAAGCAGCTCTGGTAATGGCATCTGGCCCGTATGCAGATCTAGCTCTACTTGGTGCTGACATCAGCCAGTTTGTGGCACCTCAGCGCATTTCTGGGTTGCAAATGAGAGTTTCTTAGTGCCAGGCTCGCTTGGGCTGTCACATCAGGTGATGAATTCTCTGCATCAACTTTGTGCTGCTAAGGGAAGCTCAGAGGGAGAGCAGGAAGGAGCGGGGGATGGGACCGGCGGCTCTCAGCCCAGCGGCTGCCACACCACTGCGTCCTCCGCGGCGAGGGAGAGGAGGGTGGCTCCTGTTCGCGCTCAGGAAGGTGGCCGAGGAGAGAGAAGTCAGGGCTTCAGGTGCGGTTCCTGGTTCTCGTGTTTGGTCAGGAGAAGCCATGTGGCTGCCCCCATCCACCAGTGCTCCATCCCTGGCGTCACAGGGGGCTCGCTGTGCCTCCTCCACCAGGAAGCTGTGCCTTGCCCATTAGAGGTGGTCCCAGCAATGTTGGGTGTACATCAGTTAGGTGCCAAATTCGTTCGGGTAGGATGTACATAGTCGTTTTCGTTCTGAGATACTTTGTTCCCAGATACCTTTCTTGGATTTGTGTTGGGAAGTCCAGGTTTTCTTATCTGGGAAACCGGCTGCATGTTATCCTAATTTTATATTCTGTTAGCCGCCTCCTCCCTGACGTCCCAGGAAGAGCCTGCCGCCGGCTTAGGCTTCCTCTGGTAGAATTAAATGTGAGATCAGGTCTCGCTTCCAGCATCTGCAGGCCACAGAATTACCTGTAGGACTAGGTGCAAATGTTAAACACTCTTCCATTAGGGATGTTTGTGGAGATAATAGGGACACGTGGTTTTGCAGAATTCACCTTCCCACCCCTGTAAGGCCTCCTGGGCGTTTCCAGTGTCAGCATCTTGGAGTGAGCATGTCTGTTGTGACAGGGACTTTGCATCGGAGAGTGAAGGCAGAAGTTGGGGTGCGGAAGAAAAATAAAAACGAGTCTTATTTGCCATCCCTACGCAGTTGCTAATGAGACCATCCTGCACGCTCCCTGCTCCCACCTGAGAGATAAATAAACACACAAAGGCGGAGTTTCCCACTTAATATGCACCCGCAGTCAGGAAGAGGGAAGGAATAGCTCCCCAGGGTTAAGGCCAGTAAATGAGGTCAGCTGTTTCCCAAGACGCAGTATCCTCCCAACAGCTTACGTTAAAGCTGGCACCGTAGAGCTGAAGTGGCCAGAGTGATGTACGGGAAACCCGGTTCCGTGGGGCGTGCTCGCAGTTTCCAATCGTGAGGTGTGAGCAGCAAGGAAGGGGCAGCAGACCCTGACCAGGGTCTAAAGCGCCTCCAGAGAAAGGGATCCTTCAGCTGGTGCCAGTGTTGGGCATGCGTGTTCCAGAAAGGGCTGGTTGTCCTCTGACTTGAAATCCGGAGGCCACAGTGTCCTGAATGTGGCAAGAAGCAGGGGCTCGTTGCTGGGGTATCCTGGGGGGAGGATGAGCAGCCCTCTCAGTGTTCCTGGCTCTGGGGGGGGGCAGGCAGGGGTTATGGGAGTATGGGATTTCAGTGTTAACAAGGGGTGGGGTGGGGTCCTGGGCACACTGGGACGGTTGGTCACCCAATCTGTTGGCGGGGGGGAGAAGGGGGGGAGTGGGACTGGAAAAAAAGGCAGCCAAAGAGATTGATTTGGGGTTTTTTTTTTATTTTATTATGTTATGTTAGTCACCATACATTATTTGTTTTTAGTAGAAGTTCTTCTGTATTCTCCTTCACCAGGCCAACTAGCGTAATTAAAATGCCAGTTTTGATATCAGCTTGAACTAATTCCTGTCTCTGCCATCTGTGAGTTCCCTGTACCCTCTGGCATCGTGTGCACTGGTCTGAGAAGACAAAACTTTCTCAGATGTCTCCTGTTTGAGTTATTTCATCTCAGACACGAATCAAAAGGAGTCTCCCGGAAACTTCTGGTCCGTGTAGAATGCCTTGCTGGGTCCCTCCTAATGAGACGCCACAGGGCTCATTTTCTTGACTAATGGCTTTATTTTGGGGCACCACTTATTGTTATTTTAATGAAATTGGAGCATGGCTAAATAATGGTAATAGTGGTGGCTTACGAGCAAGGTCGGGAGACTCCTCTGTGGCGCGTCCCATGCCTCGGACGCCGACCGCCTCCCTGATCTTCCGCATCTCCTTGTCTCCCACCGGGTCGATCCTAAGATACGTGAGTTTTTTCCTCTTGTACCAGCACTTTACTCTCCGCATCATGACACTCAAGGAACCTCTGTCAGGTTTTCCTAAAACCCTGTACCACTCAACAAACAAACACATACACATACACCCACATAGCTGGCTAGTTACTTACTGACTCACCTGTCTCTCTGGTCAACACACACATATGAAGAAGGACGATTGGGACAGACAGGTATCAGAATGCTAACAGCTGTTGTTAGTCTTTGAGTGGTAGGATTATGGGTGTTGTACGTTGTGTGTTTCATGCTTTTTCTCTTGTCCAAATATTACATCGCATATAGAATTGCAAATACTCTATTAAAAAATATTGTATGAGCTTATCTTTTGTAATCAGAAAAGATAAGCGACATGACGGGATTTTCTTTGGGGTAAAATAAATATAATGGCTCTTCCGCATCTGCCTAAAATGGCACCAGAATACATGTTCTTGGTTGGGAAGGGAGACTAAGCTCCTGTCACCCCTGTGATCAGCCTGCATTAGGACACGGAATTAATTCTGTTCTTGATTCTGATCATACTACAGAGTCATGGCCCCAGAAAGATAGCAAAGACAGAATTCCCATTTCCCCCTCATTGGTCCCCTTCTGATCCCTCACCAACAGCAGGAGAAATGTGCTGGGCAGGGAGAGGGGGCAGAAGGAGCTACCTGACTACCTCAGGAGATGGAGCGTTGGAGTTTTGAGCAATTATTCATGGGTCCCCGATTGAGGTGGAATGCCCTTGGCATTGCCCAGGATGACCCTTTGTGCTCTTGGTATCCAGACCTGCTCTTTAGTGAGGTATGGGGGAAAAAAATCTATCCTCATGCAGAGGTAACTGGTTAAGAGCTGCTATGAATTCAGCGCCTGGCTTTCCTGGGGAAATTAGAGCATCATTTGGGTGAGCCAGTGGGGGAAGAAAAAAGCCAAGTGGATGAGAAGGGCAGAGAAAAAGGAGCCCAGATTCAGAGGTTCAGAAGCCTGTGTGTCTCAGTCATAAGCCAGAAGTCTGCTTTTCTCTCTCGCACTTGTTCATGAAACATGAACACAGGTTTGCCAGCGCTTAGGTGTCAAGCATGCTCCTCAGTACCATGGATTATGCTAGAGTACAAGCTGTGGTCCCTCCAAGATGGCAATGATAGTACCTGCCGTCTGCACCCCAAGTGTTTCAGGGAGTAAAATGAGTGGAGAGTACAGTAGAAAATAATTTACCAGGAATGCCTAAGACCTGCTCTGTTCAACATGAACACTTTCAGAGGTGAGGTCTATTAACTTCAAAGGAACACAGCAATTAGGGGAAAGAAGGCATTTCGGCACACTTCTGTTTCGATGCTTTCAAATACATAAACAATCCTGAATTATGTTTCATGAGTTAACTACTCCCAACAAATCATTCTTCAACTGTTTTAATGTTGGGATATTTTTGGCCAGGAGTGTTCATTGAAACAAATCCTTTTAGAACAGTCCCATTGTTTGGATGCTTCTGGGTTCAGAATCTTAGAAAAATGGTCTATAAACGTAAATCATACTTACAGCTTCCTAGCTCACCCCCTCTCTAGATATATTTATGCAGACCAGTCCTTAGTCCACCTCTGTTTCACCTGTTTGATTCACCTGAATCACCCTCTGTACTTTTCAAGGCTCACCTCAAAGAGTACCTCTTCCCTGATGCTCCACCAAGATGGGATATTGCCTTCATCTGAACTGTCCTAACAGCGGGGCTGTACCATTATTAGTCCCTGCCTTGAATTATAGTTCATTCATATGCATGTCTTATCCCCCTCCTTGAGGACATGAGCTGTCTCTCATCATTATATACCCAGGAGCAAGTAGTACAGAACCTTGCACAGAACAGGTGCCTGGAATCCTGTAACATACGGAACATGCAGGGAAAGGCCTTAGAAGACATTTGGATAACCTTTTTATTTTTCTGAAGGGGAACCCAAGGCCAAAGAGGGGGAAGTGCTTCACCAGAGTCAACAGCTAGTCCTTGCCAGACTCAGAACTGGAACTTGGGTTCCCTTGACCTGTCACTCCACGAGAGCCCACACAGTGATCATCTGAAGGCTTGGACTGACTCAAAGTATCTTTGAGAAGTGGGAGGTATTCACCTAGTGTCCAAAGGCTCAGTGGGAGGACCCATACTCATCTGAGGGTGGAGGGTGTATTATCAACCACAAGATCAGCTGCCCCGCTGAGGAGTGTCCCCATGTGCCAGGCACTGTGCTAGGCCCATTACACAAGTTGCCTTGTTGTCATTGTCTGCTCAAAATGGCCACCCGATCTCAGAGGACTGACTTGTCTCCCTTTTTCCCTTCTAGGCTAATGGAGGTTGGCAGGATGCTACTACCCCTTCATCAGTGACCTCCCCTACAGAAGGCCCTGGCAGTGTTCACTCTGATACCTCCAACTGATCTCCCAGCAATCGCATCCCGGCTGACCCTGTGCCCCAGTCGGGACAGGGCCAGGAGGGAGGGTTTCTCTCCCAACGCTGAAGCGGTCAGACTGGAGGTCGAAGCAATCAGCAAACACAATAAGAGTCTCCTTCTCTTCTCTTCTTTGGGATGCTATTTCAGCCAATCTGGACACTTCTTTATACTCTCTTCCCTTTTTTTTCTGGGTAGAAGCCACCCTTCCCTGCCTCCAGCTGTCAGCCTGGTGTCCGCCATCTTTCCTGCCCCCTCCCCCTCTGTCCTAGACTCCCTGGGTCCCTGCCCTCAATGACATCACGGAAGGGTATTTTCAACAATTAGAGGAATTTAAAGAGGAAAGAAAATACAAAGAAAATAATAAACGTGTTTGTATGTTTTCATGCTGGTGGTTTGAGGAGCCAAATTTACCTCACTCGGATCCCTCGCTCCCTCTGTTAACAGGCAGCCCTTCTCGTTTCTCTTCTTACTCTCACTACCTCTTAGCAGGAATGCGCCACGTTGCCCCACTCATTCCAGGCCCCCTGCCCCCTCTTGCTGTTCCCTCCCTGGGCCGGTTCTGCTTAGAACCCTTCCTCCTCTTCCTTCCCAGCCCCAGCTGTGCCCCGGGGACTGCCGTAGCTGGGCTTCTAAAGGTGCCACGTTTTCCGGTCTCAGGTCCACTAGGTTGATCCCCAGGCAGGAAGTCGAGCAGCAGGAGAGGACGTAAGCAACAAGAAGGGCAGAATTCTTGGAGGCTTCCTCCTCCTCCTCCTAACAGCTCTTGGTTTCAGAGGCACAGTCTTTGGAGACCACGTCACACATAGTAAGCAATGTCCTGAACCTACTGCAGAGCCAGATCTGAGTGGGCATGGTGATGAATGAACCACTAAGGAGTAGAAGGTTCTTATCCTGCAACCCTTCAACTAAACCTTCTCACACACACACACACACACACACGTGCGCGTGCACACCCAGGCGCATGTCAGCGCATGCGCGGCCTCAAACATTCATTTCCTCCCCATCAGTCACGTGCCACCTGCAAAGACCCACATTAGCGACGGTAGCAATTTGCCTCGTGAGCCCAGGAGAGGGAATTAGCAACTCTGAGTGAAGGTCACCGACACAGACACAGTATGTGCCTGGGGCTTCCAGGACCTGCAGCCCCCCAGCATGGCCATACACCAGAACGACATACACGGGACTTGATCATGATGGAGGAGGCCAGGTTGGCCGCCCACGCTGTTCCTGTTGCCACCACCTCTGGAGCGCTCAGGGAGCCACACACAGTACTTACAATGTCTGTAATGGATTTGGTTCCGTTCTGGTTTTTGTTTTTATATGAGGGGCGTTGCATTAATTATCCAAAGTGTTATCATGGCACCACATTCTTGTTCTGGAGGGGCTGGAGAAGGACACGGCTTAGGCAGATTTTGCTAGCTTAATTTGAAGACCTGAGAACGATGGGAAAAGAGGAGGTGATGTTTTCAGGGAAACTGTCACAGTGACTTTCATTTCCTGGGAATACCCGAGAGGAGAGTACTACTAGAAAGCTATTCTGTAGCGTCACCTGAGCTTACATTCTTCTTAGCCAGCTGCACCAGCGATAAAGATGGTGGCTCTGTAACCTGACTATAAGTGGGAGGTGGTCAGATCTCTCGGTGCCTCGTTTTCTTCTTCTGTAAAATGGGGATTATGATGCCTGGCTTACCAAGAGGCTTGTGAGAGACTGAAGGAATTGATTTCATTCCTATCCCATCTGTAAACGGGAAGTCAGAGGAAGTGTCATCCCTGAGACAAATTGGTTTGTGCCATGGAGGGGCAATATACGGTTTTCCTGTTCCAACTTCTGGTTACCATCAGTACCCTGGTGTCATTGCCGTGATGACAAAGAGAAGAAGGGCTGTTGTTGTTGCTTTTTTGTTGGTTTTGGTCTGTTCGGTTTCACAGACTAGAGATAAGTCTCCACACTAGGAAAATAGGACCCGGTTCTCTTAGTTTGTGCTTGAATCCAGTACGTGGCCTTGTAAGTGCTTAGCCCCTTGTCACATCTACTCTGCTTGAGAGGCCTGCTGATCCCTTGAGTCCCAATTTTGGATGAAGAGAGAGAAGACCCTGAGGGGTAAGGATGGCCCGCTAACGAGGTCATGGACATTGTGCATGGTGTTAAAGACAGCAATGAATAGAAATTGCTCCTGTGTGCGTGTGGGGGAGAGGGGTTACCTAAGAAACTGGAAGGTGTGTGAATTTGAAGGAAAGGCAAAAAAGTAAATCTTTGGCAAGATGGAATTATGCCTTGATGACTAAGAGCAGTGGAAAGACTGTGTCTACTGACCTGTGCCCCAGTCAGAACAGAGCTTGGTCGAGGGGCTTCCTGGCAGGAGCCATCTTGTGACAACTCCATAGTCCTGGAGCCAGTGGATAACCTTGTTCAGTGTCAGGGGTCTGCACTACCCACGCAGGAGTACGGCTGGATCACATGCCTGACTACGCAAAGTACAGAAGAGACCCGGAAGGGTTCTCTTGGCAACAGGAAGAATGATTCCAGATTTGGGTGGAATGATTGCCATTTTAAGTTGTTGAAACAGATCAGAGCAGAGCTACATTTGCAGACAGTTTCTCTCCCCACAGGAGTTTGCACTGATTCTCACCTTGCCCAGCATCTTCCCCGCTCAGACCTCTCTGTTCCACAGTTTCCCACCACCTACCCCCATGCCCACCGTCACGTCCAACATGGCAGCCACCAGATCCCCCGACAATAAGCAAAGCATGGGAACTCCGGCCGCAGAAGGAAGGGGATGGAAAGAGCGTGCCTCTGGAAATACAGCTCCCTGGGAGTTCATATTAGGTCAATCCTGCAGATACCAAAATGTGCCCCAGGACTCCTGCATTTACTAATGGGAGCGGGAGCGTTCCGTTGTCCCTGGCAGCCGATTTCCCCTGAGTAATACTAGCCCTTGGGATTGCCCACCTTGTAACTCTCCATCTCAACCTCTTTTTCACCCCTAACTCCTCCCCCTGGCGTGGAATTGACACAGTACTTTTGCCAAGTGGCACCTTCCTTACATTTTTTTTTTTTTTAATTTTGCTGTGGTGGTGGTTCTTTATTTGCTGGTTGCCTTCTCTCACATACCTTCCCCCCCTTTTCCTTCTGAGTTTTATTTTTCTGCCCAGAAAAACCTGACTTCGATACCAAAAAAAGATGAAACTACAGAAACTCAAATTTAAAAAAAAAACTTAAAAAAAAATACAAAAAAATACTCAACAATTCTTTCAGCTTTATTAACATTTTCCATTGTTTCTTGCGACTTGTGTCTCGTTCTTTGTAGTATTGATGATGAACATTTGATAATGAATGTTCTTGTATATTCAGATAAAGAAAAAAAAAAAACCAAAAAAGCGGTCTGAATTTAATAGTGTTTATAATAAAAATTTTAAAAATGACCCTCATAGCACGCAAAACAGGATGGGGGGGGCTCCCCCTCTTATTTCTGTGACAATACGCATCATTCCTGCGTTCGTTTTTAACACCAAACTACCTACATTAATCATTTCCCCCATTTTTCTTTTATTTTCTTGCATTTGTGAATTAGTTCAAGAATGCTAGAAAAGTGTCGAGTTGTGCACATTCATTTCCTGTTTCACAATGTTTAAAAGTGACAGTAATTCATTTTGTAAACTAAAAAAAAAAAAAAAAAAGGTTGGGATAGTGAGCATAATAGGTACAACCTAACACGTTATGTTTATTAACTTTGAGACCCAGAAATAAATTCTTTTCTTTCTTTATTCCTGCTCTTTAAAATATAAAAAAAAAATTATGTTGTGTGTTATTTTTGGTTGTTTTACTGGGGGGGCTTTTTTTTTGTCAGGATTATGATCTTGCTGTTTTTATTCCTTACATATGTATACGAGGTGATGTGAAAAAAATGACATTTGTAGAGTAGGCAGTTTCCTTGTACTTCTACTTCACTCCAGAATTCAGTTGACCTCAAAGACAAAGATGAAGCCCATGTGGATGTCCCATCACTCACCTGCATTTCCGGAGTGTGGGGCAGTCCCTGAGAAAAAACACCATCAGGGACCTGGGTTTTCTCCTTTTGGCCCTTTAGAAGTTCAAGGAATTGGCCCAGGAGATCTTTGATAAGGTAGGGAGACCCTTTTTGCCTTTGTTGACTGTGAATGTCACGACAAAGTGCTTTCTTTTCTTTCTTCTTGATTAATAACAACATTCCAGGAGCCCTCTTACAACTAGAAAGGATTTTTTTTCTTCCAGAAGCATCCCACAGAAGTCCTGGTGTGATGGGCCACGGGCTACCTAGACTAGATCCGGGAGGCCGTCCCTGGGGTCAGTCGGCCTGCTGATCCCTTGAGTCCCAATTTTGGATGAAGAGTCGAGAACCTGAGCCTGACTCAGTGCTCTCCTTTTAATGCTGAGAGGTGGAGTTTGATGCCTTGACATACCTCTTAATTACCTTCTGGCTACTGAAAAGCAAATGGTTAAACCGGCTTGATTTGGAATGTTTTTATTAGTCATAGGAGAAAAGAAAGCAGTATTCTCTGGAAGAAACTTATTTTAAACATCTTTCATTCAACAAATGATTAAGTGTCCAGAAAGCCCCTAGAACATAAGCAAGAGAAGTGAAGGCAAAGGTGCGGGACCGTGGAATAGTGCGCCGCAGGTGTTTCTGCCCCAGACACCTGCTCGCCTGCTCCTGAGTCAACAAAATAATGACGAGCTTTTCACATCACCTTTATGGTTTCAACACCCAGCTCAAAGCTTTCTGGACTCTTTTATTTTTTGTAAACTTTTTTTTTTTCCTTTTGTTAAAACGAATAAAACATTCAATGTTTTCCCCCTTTTCTCTCTTATTAATTCCTTTTTTTCCAATTATTTTGAAGTGCTTTCCTTTGGTTGTTGGTTTTATTCTCCCGCTCCCCTCCCCTGTTCTTACTCAGAGTATAAACCTGCAAAGTTCTGCTCTGTTTTGGTTTTGAAAGTTTAAGCTTTTCTGCTTCTGTGAGAGCAGGGGCTTCTGTCCCTTTTGATTCCAACTGAACTTTTGTGTTCTCTAATGATGCTAACATGCTGTAGGCTTTACAGTCTCCTAATTTGTACTGGTAATGCATATTCCAAATAAATAGTTTCTTTTTGTTGCAAAAAATAGATATTGTATTTTGTGTAAATTTCTTCTCTCACATGCTGGCAACCTTGGCTTCCCCCCAAACTGGGACTGTGTTAGTGTGGATTATGGTTTAAACTGTGACCCTAATCACTGTAAAGCCTACATACCTGGGCGGGGGGGTGGTGGGGAGGGTGGCGAATGACCTCACAAGCCCCCGACCTTACCCATGAAGTCCGAAGGGAGGAAGGGAAGAAGTAGGGGGGGGACCTTTTATGGGCAATTATTGGCTGCACTGAAGGCAGGCAGAGCACCCCATCTTGTGTGCTTGCCAATGACTGGCTACCACCCACCAGGCACCAGTTAACCAAAAAAAAAAAAAAAAAACCCAAAAATACCAGGGAGATTTTTCCATAATAAATTCTAACTTTTTACGTCACAGCTGTTTGCCCAGTGGTTCCCCTTTGCTTCTCTTTTGTCTTTTGGGATTTGGTCATAAGGAAAATCCTGGTACCCAAGATATGGTTCAGAGGAAGGACTCTGGGTTATGAATAATACTCCGTTGTAGGCTTTCAGAGGTATGCGAGATGTTACTCCTATAGATCTGCACACCTACCATGTGTTACGTCTACCATCCCATGTGAGCATCTCCCCCCCCCCCATTCTTTGCACTCATACTGTGCCCCTGACCTTTGGGTTTATGGTCTGTTACAGTGTTTGGTGTCCCAGCCATGAACACCATCCTCCCACCCATGCACAGGATGGAACTGATCTGGCAATTGACGTGTCACCCCTCCAGGGACATCACGTGGACTGTAGTCTCATTTCCATGTCCTAAGTCTCCAGAGCCCCAGTGAGGCAGGCATGTACTGATGTATTGAATGAACTAATCACTCACCCTCTCATCCCGACTGTGATTCTAATCAATAGAAGGTAGATCAAAGGGATGGAGCGTCAATGAGGATCAAATGATCATTGTTATTAGTGGACAAGCTAAGAGCCCAATAGCCTCCGTGGCATCAGGCTATCTGCTCCTGTTGACTTGGAGAACATCGCCAGCCGCCGAAATGGAGGCCCCGTGGTCCCTCTTCAAGCCTGGATGTTGGAACGCACTTGGAGGTGTGTGCATGCCACGCAGCCTCAGACTATTTCCTTTTCCAATTGCACGAAAAACTGTGGACCTGATTCTCCCCCCTAGTTTACTACTTGGGAGTGATATTAAACTGTTGTAACAAATAGACCAAACACGGGAGATGCCTCACATTCAATACAGTCTATTTCTTACGGAGGCAATAGCCTAAGGCCAGTGTTCCTGGTCGGGCGGCCTCTTCTCAGTGCAGTGATTCCGGGACCCAGCTCCTTCCGCTCTGTGGCTCCTGCATCTAGATGGCAGAAGGGAAAGTAGGAAGAAGGCTCACCGCTTCTCGAAGCTTTTGGCCAAGACCTCCCTTCCACCGTATTCTTAAGTGCAAGGGGTGGAAGAGTGGTCCCTGGCTAGCCAGCCACTTCCTGGCAATAATACCACACCCCAACTTTTTGGACAGTTGGTCATCTGTGTCACAGCTAGTGACCAAATGGATAAGTGAGAGCAAAAGACAAACCCACCTGCTTGTTTCACTGCACTGGGCACACTCCCAGTAAAAACATTTCCAGTCAACGTCCCAGATTTGGCTTTGTTACTCTGCAGTGGGGAAGACAACCTGTTCCCACCTTCGGGAGGTGGCCCCATGGCCTTGCTGGCTGGAAGGGTCAAGTCTGGTGGCCAGCAGTCACTTCGAAGATTACAGGTCTGAAGCCTTAAAATCACAAAATCTGAAAAGCTCACTGCCCTCTGCCCGCCCTCCACTGGCTTCTGCGTCCTTATCCTCATAGACTTCTGCCACCTGCCCAATTAAAAAAAAAAAAAGACATGCCTCAAATGCCAATGTTCTGAGCACCATTTGTTATCCACAAGACAGTTTCTGGAAACATCCAGCGTAGGGAGTGCCTCTGGAGCTCAGCGTTAAGAAATGATGCAGTGTGTCCAGGAGGGTGTTTTAGCCTGGATCTCAGAACTGGAGGCCTGGAGCGAGGACTGAGGCCTTGCTCTGGGGGTTTTGCTCTCATGCCTTGCATTAAAGCTACAACAGCATACGAATAAAGACAGCAGAGGGTTTCCTGTGAGATGCAGTCTCTGGCTGCTAGCCTTGGGCAGACCTCCAAGGCCATTCTGGGCAGTGTGGGCGTGGGCGAAGAGTTGCAGTAAAGGCTTGTGACAGTGACATTGTCCAGGGCCACGTGCTTTGGAGATCCACCGTCTTCATGTATCCTCCTGGGACCCATGCAAACTATAGCTTAGCTAGAGCTTCTCGACGCCCCTGGATAGGGCAGGGGCGTTCATGCATTAACATCCACGTTACACTGTACCCCAGCCAGGATTCACTCTCTCCCACGATATTCAGCCACACTGTCCAGGGTAACTTACCAAAATAGTCGATGAGCACCTCCTGATAGCATAAAAAGCACCAAGTGCTGTGGTACCTTTGAATATAAATCTCCCATTGATGTGTATCCAGGGAGAAATTAAAGTTCAACATAAAATCCTCCTCTCTTATAAATTAAAATTCAAATGCTAGTCTACAGCTCTGCCTTCCTGGACTTCCTCTGTGTCCACTGTCAGCCAGAAGTAGAGTGGAGACCTTCTTTCCTTCCATAGCAGCGACGGTCCATAGGAACGGCCGTTACTGTTTGGGTCCCTCCAAGGTGCACTTAATCCAACCTTGCCTCCCTCCAGGACCCCGCTTTTCCTAAAAGTTCACTTTCGGAGGCATAGGAACCATAGCTCATCAGCAGCCTGCCCCACCGAATTTATAATCCACAAGCAAAGCCCAGGCTTCGAGTCCAAATCGAGTCCCCAGAACCCAGATCATAGTATTACGTGGCGATCACTAATGAATGGCCACACCAGAGACATGATCGTTCAGGGAGGATGCAGGAGAAGACAGCAAACACATGAAAGAGCGAGAAGAAAATCGATAGTTCAGTCCTTACAATGCCAGTTGATTGGTAGCATCTGTAGTGTTGAGAAAAGCCACCACCAAGAGGTTAATCTTGCACGCTGCTCCCTATGTCCTGGGGGGAAACAATCCAATCTCTGCATTCTGCCTCCTCTCTCAGAGAATGACCTTTGAAATATTCATGTCTTTGTGAAAAATTCAGAAATATAAAACGGGTGCCCTCCTGTCCACAGGCTTACTCGGGGCTCCCTTCTTCCCCGTGGCATTCATAGACCTATTAAAGATGTATCTCCATTTCCACTTTCTGTTATGCCCTGTCTAATCCCAGATATGTGGATCCTTGTGCCACTGTGACTTCTGCTCTTCCTTCTCTGGACGTTCTCCAGCTCAGGATGCCGTCTGAGCTCTCCCTTTGTCTCAGCTGAGCCAGAGTCCAGCTGCCAAACACAGGCTGAGGTCTGCCCCCATCACCGCTCCCCACTAACCTTGCCTGTCTGTCCTGAGATCTCTTTTTTTTTTTTTTTTAGATTTTTATTTATTTATTTGACAGAGAGAGAGACAGCGAGAGCAGGAACACAAGCAGGGGGAGTGGGAGAGGGAGAAGCAGGCCTCCCACTGAGCAGGGAGCCCGATGCGGGGCTCGATCCCAGGACCCCGGGATCACGACCTGAGCCGAAGGCAGACGCCCAACGACTGAGCCACCCAGGCGCCCCTGTCCTGAGATCTCTTTTGAGGCTTGCCCTAATGTTTCTCTCCTATTTCCCCCAAATCCCTTTAAAGTGGAGCCAGTAAAGTTAAAATTGTCTGCCCTGCCTTTTCCCCAGTGACATCCCTTCCCTGTCTTATGGAGGGCTCCATAAATGTCTCTTCAGCCCAAACATTTGTTTTCTTCCCATTACTTTTCTAAATTCTATTTTAAAAGTCTTTCAGAAATTCTGGGTCTGGCCAAGGCTTCCATTGTTCAGATGGATGCTGCTCCGCTTTCATTCCTTGGGTTGAGTCCCTACGGGAGGTGTCTTGCCATCACCCACATTCAGCCACTGTTTTCCTGACAGCCTCCTCTGCTATGGTGCGATCCCCCCACCCCCGCCCCCAGCCCTCCCTTAGAGCGCTCTCTCTGGGCCTACCCTCAGAGCACAGGACCTGTCAGAGCCCCTACACACAGTAGCTGCAATGCTGAAATTCGCTAATTGTTTTTGAAGCATTTAACAACGATCTTCTTGATCTTCCCCTTCAGATGCATCCACATTTTCTTTTATCATCTAGTGAGACCTTTAAAGTTATCCACAGGGACATCTCAGATTGCTTCCAGTACAAGTTCCCCATCTGCTGCTCTCAAAGGGTCCTTCCTGGAACCTTTGGTGTGAGGAAAATACAGTGTGCTCACTGAGATCTTAAAAGTCCAACTATGTAGACTCGAATCCTAGCTCTGCAACTGTCAGATCCATTCTGAAGCTGCGTAAGAGAATTTTTCTCACACCGACCAATTCTCCAACATTCCAACACCAGCTAGGTGTCCTACAATTCAATTCTGACACTAACTACCCAGGGTGAGTGTCAGACTCCACAGGTGTGAAGGCTCAAGCCTGCCCTCAGTTCGGACGCCAGGTGCAGGTAACCCGTCACCCATGCTTCTGACTGACCAGTCGTAAGTTGAAATTTTCCACAATCCCCATCTCTGGTTTGATAATTTGCTAGAACGACACACAGAATTCAGGAAGCCACTTTATACTTACTGGTTTATTATAAAAGGTACAAATGAACATCCAGATGAAGAGACACATGGGATGAAGGCTAGAAGGGTCCTGAGTGCCGATCCTCTGTCCCTATGGAGTTGGGGTGTGCCATCTTCCCAGCACGTGGATGCACTGGCCAACTCAGAAACTCCCCAAACCCTGTGGTTTGGGGGTCCTCGGGGTGGTTTTAGTACATGGGATGATTGGTTAAATCATCAACCATTGGTGATTAACTCAATCTCCAGCCCACTGCCCTCCCTGGAGGCTGGGATGTGGGGCTGAAAGGTTCGAGTTTGTAATCAAGGCTTGGTCTT